AGCAGGGAGCCCGATGCGGGACTCGATCCTGGGACTCCAGGATCATGACCTGAGCCAAAGGCAGTCGCTTAATCAACTGAGCCACCCAGGCGCCCGCCTAAGATTTATTTTAATCTTCCCTTTTTAAGCAAAGACCTGTGCCTTCCGAGGATTTATGGACCTTGCTGGCTGAGGCTGAAGCCAACCTGCCTGCCAGGCAGCCCTGGGACTGGAGTGTCCCCAAGCAGCGCCTGCGTACCTGCAGCCAGGGCCTGCCCCAGAGCTGCTTCCGGGGAGGGAGGGGCTCGGGGCCACACGGCTGGTGTTTGTCAGGCCTCACCCGCCAACTGTGCGGACCCCACGCTGGTGAGCCCGTGCTGCACTGCCCTGTGAGGGGTGGCCGGCCTCTGGGACGCCCCAGGCTTTGGCGGCCTGCCCGCGCCACCACTCCCTCCCCACGAGAGCGTCTACGCATGCAGTGTGGTCCCAGGGCAGCGTTCTCTGTGACGCAGGGGGAAGGGCAGTGCCTCTGCTGTGGCTGGGCTGGGAGTGAGGACAGCCGGGCCCTTGCCGCCGGCACGGCTGCCATCGCCCAGTGCCTTGGAATGCGCCTCCATCTGGGGTGAAACCGCAGCCACGGGGGTGCTGACGGGTAACACCTCCCCCATGCGGGCCTTTGTTCGCAGCGCCACCGCCGGGCCGGGAGACCGGTGTCTTGCTGGGTCTTCCTCCAGGGATCCGGGGTGACCGCGGCTGCACTTGCGGACCCCAGGCAGATGCTTGCCGTTCCCCAAGGCTCACCCACTTCCCTCTGCTTTATTCACGAGATACAGTGACTTCAAAAGTCATTTTTAAAAAATCACCTGTCTAAAGAGCAGTCACGTGCTGTGTGCACAAACCTCACATAAGGTAATGCTGTGCCCCGGAAAGGAGTGGAAGAAGATTTGGCATTAATAACGCTAATGACAGTTTATTGTTTTGGTTTTCATTTTCAGTCGGCAGATAAGCTGATAGATAATCACAAACTCATAGTGTTGACATACTTTATTATAAATACATAATCTCACATTTTATGAGTGAATATCTCAAGTAAAGACACATTTTTAGAAATTTATGACTTCATAACCCATACTGAGTTACAGAATGACAGAATTCTATATCGTTCTTTTAAAAAAATTCACAAGCGTAGAGACATTGAGTATTCACAGCACTAAGAAGGGAAAGCAGTAAAAACTGGTCAGCCCTGGAAATGAAGCCTTGCGGCCCCGGCGGACAGCAGCCCCAGTCAGCCCTGCGCCTGCAGCCTGGCCCTGCAGCTCTCGCGCAGCCTGATGATGGTGGCCATGGACAAGCTCCCGGGCTCAGTGAATATTTTCTGGAAGAGAAACAATCCACGTAAGAAACCAGCTCAGCGGCACCCCCACCCGCGCCAGGTAAGGGCTTGCCAGCGGCGGGGGAGGGGCGCTTGTGCTGACCCTTGAATCCCGAGGGCCTGCGGTGGCTCTGAAACCAGCCTGACTGAGCCCTGGGGGAGCGGAGGGCCATGCCGTCACATCATCTATGCCTAACGATTTGATAATTTCGGCAGTTACGGCTGAGAAATTCATGGTTACAAACTAGGCCAAACGTAAGGCTAGCATTAGAAGGGTTTTTTGAAATTCCTCCACAGGTGCGTGCGTGTTCAGCCGGTGCTGAGGTCAGGGTGGACTTTATGTTCTAACGGGCCACGTTCCTGAAAAGGGGAGCAGGCGCGTCCTCTGCTGGGTGCCGGGACGTGGGCATGGAGCTGCGTTCTTCCCGTGATGGTTGCGCTGAGCTCGTGCGAGGTCACTGCTTTTATTCTCCAGAACGTTCTAGATGTTCTTGCGCGGGACCGCAGAGAGCCCGGATGCACGAGCTGCGGTTCCTGTGCCGGCGTGCTTTGATGCAGAAACACTGTCCCAGGGCCACTTCCCCAATAACGTCCCTCCAAGGGGTGCATCCATGCTGCGGGACCATGCACAGCGGTGTCGTGTCCCCGTGGGCAGACTGGCGGAGCCGGCCGGGCAGCCTCGTGCTTGTCCGCGCTTCCCTCCGGTGCTCTCTACACGCTAGCGCTTCCGGAGCACTTGGCGTGTGTGCACGCGCAGGTCCTCGGCTAGCGTCACACGTGGAGGCGAACCCACAGACTGGGGACTGCTGGGTGGGGTCGGGGCGTGGGTGACGGCCCCACAACCTGGGAGCGTACCAGAGACCCCCGAGCTGTCGTATGTGTTAAAGGGGGACCCTAGCTCATTCAACGGAAAACCCTGAGCCACCTCCAGTGCAGCCCTCTGACGTACGAGGGGCTTGCTGTGGGGGTACAGACAGGGTGGGCTAGGGTCCTGTCCATTCCTGGACACACCATCGCAGACTCGTTCCCAGACTCACGCCCCTGGCCTCTGCTGCTGGACTCTGCCCCTAACATTGGCACCAAAGGGCTCGCGGGGACAGAGAAGCCCTTCTGGGCGAGGCAGTCGGTCCCACGTGATGGGCTCCTCCCAATGAGTCGGCCGCAGGCTTAGGTCCCGCGTTCCCCATCCGGGCCCTACCATTCAGCAGACGCTTGTAGCCCCTGGCGACTGGGGTCCCCAGCACTGCAGCCAGAGAGCAGGCCGCCCTCCCCTGAGCCCTGGGGCACAGGCCCCAGCTTCTCTCTGGCTGTGTCCAGGCTGCTCCCTAGGGCTGCCTCACTCCATGCGGCCAGAGGACACCAGTCGCGCACCTGCAACATCCTTGATTCTAGGGCAGTCCTGCCTGCAGAAGGCCGCCCGTCCGTCGTCGCCTGACAGCTGCCCGTGCCCCAAGCAGAGCTGGGGGCTTGCTACCTCCTGGGAGGCAGGCAGAACTCCCTGGCCACTGGCCTTCCTGGCACCCTCCGCCACCTCCCCCACACTTCCTCCTTCCCCACTTCCAGGTGGAAAAGGGGAAACCTAAAATTTGCCTCTCCCAGCCTCCGCGGCCTCCTCAGAAGGCCTGTCAGGCTTTTCAGCTCCTGCTTCATTCACTCAGCAGATCTGAGTGGTCTACACGCCGGTATCGGGTCCAGGACCCGGTTGAGGGAGTTGCCCTTCAGGGTAGGACAACAGACCCGTGCGACCCTACTGGGGCCAAGGAGAGCCATCCGGAACCAGAGATGCCAGCAGCAGGGGAAGGGCTCCAACAGGATGGCAGATCGACGGGTTTGTGCTCCGACCCAGTGAACCTGGACTGGTCCCACGGGGGTCCCGGCCGCCCTGAAGCCCGTCATGGGGCTTGCAGCCCAGCAGGAGGGGCAGCTGTTGTGGAGCTCTGGGAGGACATGGGTCTGGGAGGGCTGAGGGGGCTAACGGGGCCGCGGAGCAGAGCCTGCCCCAGACACTCACCTGCATGAAGGTGTGGCACTCGGTCACAAAGCTCCCCCTGGTGATCTCCTTGAACCTCTCACAGATGTCCGCCACACTGGTCGCTTCCAAAATAAAGGCCTGGTGCTGCTTAATTAGGGTCAGGGCCACCCGGAAGATAATCTTGGAACCTTCGTTGAACAAACAGTCCCAGATTCGGAGCACTGTCTGCAGAGAAACAAACGGTGCATCATGCGGGGGTGGCCCACGCAGCCCTGGTCCCAGCAAGGCTCACGCCGCGCTCACCTCCATGGGCAGGATGTCCACAAACAGGCAGATGAACCAGCGCGACACAACCAGGGTCCACAGGACGCCGTGTCCATCCATCAGGGCCGCCACCGCCGGCAGCTTGGTCCTCACCAGCTCCCCCAGGACCTCCTGGTCCGTCTGCAGGCCCAGCATGGCGGGACTGTAGTAATCTGCCACACGGACGAGAGCAGAAACCCAGGCACTGCGTCCCTGGCCCCCTCTCCGCTGGGGGGGAAAGCAGAAGGTTCCAGGGAGCCTCCGCAGCAAGACGCCAGGAGCCCTGGGAGCGGCTCCCCCAGCGAGGCCCCAGCGTGCAGCAGCGAGAGTCTGCCGGTGGAAAGCAGGAGCCTGCACGCTGGGTCCATAGCAGCGGCACTCACACCCGCCAAAAGGCGGATGCAAGCCCATGTCTGCCTCCAGGGGAATGGACACCACTCAGCCTCAGGAAGGAGATCCTGACACCTGCTACATGGGCGAACCTCGAGGACGTTGTGCTCAGTGAACAAAATAAGCTGGACACAGAAGGACCGGTCACACGCGGTCCCTGGAGCCGACACATGCAGCCGGGGCCCGCCCCCCGCCCACCCAACTAAGGGAGGCCGTGGGGTAGAGGGGCAGGCCCGGGGCCACCTGAGCCTTGGGGACAGTGCAACAGTGAGCCCCTTCCTGGAGGCCAGAGAAGCTGTGGGTCCAGGCAGCCTCACAGAGGACGGGGGCTCTGGGCACAGATGTCTACACGTGGAGCCCTAAGGGCTTGTCGGCTCACAGAGTCAGTCCTACGTGCTGTCTGCACACTTGAGGGTCCAGGACATTACATTTCCCAGAATTCTAGAAGGAGCCAAACGTCCCCACCCCTCTAACTACAGAAGGACAGGTAGTGTGAGGTCTACAGTCTGTCCTATTCATTCCCAAGGAGAACCGATGGCTTAATTTGGAGAAATTCCTTAGTGGGGTTAGTGGCTTGGGGGCCCCAGGCCATAGGAGCACAGAAAGCACAACCCACTAAGTTGACTTCTGCCATCCAAGGGCCTGGGCAGCTCAAAAAGAACCACACCTCCCACAGCGAGTCTTCTTGGAAGGCACGTTTGTCTTGCCAAAGAACTTTTTAGCTCGTTAACGCAACACGTTATAATGAATTTTAATGCTTAGTTTTTGCTATTAAAATTCAGAAAGTGGTCTATATAATAGAAATAAATAGGACAGTTTCTGGTCCTGCTGCCCCTCCACACTCTGGCCATTCACCATAGCGAAGGGACGAGATGTTAATTAACCAGCCCGGCGGAAACAGGATCCCCACGAACACTGACATGATACCGTGGTCACGTTGCTGATTTTCAAAGAGTCAGCATGCAGTAGGCCACATTTAATACTAAAGGACCCTGGAAATGATTTGATAAAAGCCAATTCGGTTATAAAATCCAGGGATTCTCAGTTTTTCCTGCTCATATCCTCATTTTGCATCTGTCTCCTCCTCTTAAGCTGAGCAACATCCTGGCCCACCCGGGCAGATGAGGGCAGAGAGTCTCTGTTGTCCCTTCAGAGTGTCCTGCACTCGACCCAGTTCTCTGAGTGATGTTGCCAAGGGAGCCGGGGTTAAGCCCTGGACGGGTAAGAGGGTTTGCTGAGCTCCGAGCACAGTGGCCTCATTCCCGGCCCCAGAGAGGCTTACAGCGACTTCCGAAAATAGACCCGTTGAACTTGTACCCAGACTGCCACGGGCCCAGGCCAGTCACCAGGGCAGGAGCGCCAAGACCCACCCTCCTCCCCGCATCCTGCCCTGACGTGAAGGCAGACGGATCCCGTGCCTCTGGCCCATCTGAGCAGAGGAGCCAGCGTTCAGCTGAGCGCGGAACGGAGGAACCTCCTACGTAGCTCTGAACGGGGCCTCGCGTCAGGCTCTCCTGGGGACGGCATGCTTTTGCAAACAGCCTCATGGCCATGTCAGCACATCGGAGGGCTGAGCCGGGCTGGGGGGCAGGGTGGCGGTGGGGCCCATAGATGGAGAAAGGGCCGTGTGACTACTGCTGAGTAGTAAGCGGCCAAGCTGGGATTCAGGCCTACGTAATCGAATTCCAAAACTGATGCTCTTCGGCCAGCCTGCAGGCAGGGGTACAGGCCATGAGGTGCAGCCCACAGGTGGGATGACCCTCCAGGGCATGTTCATCCACAGGACTCAGGACTCAGGCCGGCCCCTCTGCTCCCCAGGACCCCTGAGCCTCCCCGAAGCGCTGCCTGGGTCCCTCACCTGGACCCCTCACCTGGACCACCTGGCTTGAGCTGGGCTACGAACAACCTGTTTCCCTGTGTTTGGAGGGGAAACTGGTCACACCAGCTTCTCAGGACGCCAGCATATGCATTCACTGGCGCTGGCTTGTGACTCGCTGCGCTATCCCACGACGGTGCTCCCCCTGTTCCTGAGGTCGGACGGCGCCGTCAGCACCAGGGAGCTGCAGGCCCAGGAGGCCTCTTCCTGTCCCTTCCTCCTCCTGCCGAATGCCTGGGTTTGAGTGGGGACGACCCGGAAGGGGCCACCTGGCGTCCCCATGGCTGGTGTGAGCTGCCAGGTCTGCACGTGCAGGGCCAAGTTGAGTGCGTACGGGCATTGCATGCTGATGTTCCAGAACACGACTCTGAACCTGGGGTGTCACCGGCCCAGGGCGGTGGCCAGTGCTGGCCGTGCTGAGGCTCTGCCATCTGCTTCATAGGCCTCAGCCCGCTCCTTGCTCGCCGGAGACCCTGGCCAGCCACGCAGGCCGCCTCCGCTGCAAAATGATGGATTTTCTATGGAGCTGCTTCTGCTGAGTTTTAGGAATCCTTGACGTGTTAGTTACATGATCACAGACACCTTCCCCAAAACTGCAGCTTCTCTTTTTACTTTGCTTACGATCTCATGTCAAAATCAGTTTTTCATTTTAACGTAATTAAAATTATCAATCACATCTTTCATAGAATTTCGTTCAAGATCTTCCTCCATACTCAGCAATCGTGAAACCACTGTACATCTTATTTTCTCGGGTCCAAGTTTTGCTTTTTTTTTTTTTTTAAGATTTTATTTATTCGACAGAGAGACAGCGAGAGCAGGAGCACAAGCAGGGGGAGTGGGAGAGGGAGAAGCTGGCTTCCCGCTGAGCAGGGAGCCCGATGTGGGGCTCGATCCCAGGGCCCCGGGGTCATGACCTGAGCCGAAGGCAGACGCTTAACGACTGAGCGACCCGGGCACCCCAAGTTTTGCTTTTTCACCTACGTCTTGAATTCATCTGGAATAGAACTAAGGGTCTAACTTTGTTTCCTTCCACGCAGAGCTGTCCCAGAAGGAGGCTGTAGACGGCCTGTCTCTTCCCCATTAACTGACCTATCTCCCGTACCAGTTCCCACAGACTTATGGAGGAGCAGACTGATTTCTGGGCTCCACGCTGTGCTGTCCATCCCTAACCGACACCACACTGTTCCCACAATCACAGCATCAGGACGCATCCCCAGGATTCTTGCCAGCCTGCGTGGCTTCACTCTGCCCTCGAGTATCTCAGTTAAGCCCTCCCTGCATCCGGGAGAACCCCTAGCTCGTCAAGATCCCAGCTGCTGCTGGCTGGGCGAGCGTGGCTGTGTGTGCACGCATGGCCGCGGGGAGGTGCCGGCCCGTATCGAACTGATGGGTGTTTCTTCCTCTGTTTTCTCCAACACTGATAAAGAAATGACCCGTTCCTCTGAGGTTTGACGCGACCCTGCGTGTCTGCCCACGGGTCATCTCAGACATTCTGGGTTCCCTCAGATCAGCTTTGTTAGGCGGTATTTTCCTCAGTTTTCCATCTGGCCACTTCATTTTATTCATATTCTCTTGAAGTTCTTAAAAGTCTACAGATTTCCAAATTACAGCACCCTTTCCATTTCTGAATACTTTACCCGCTTTTTCTGTCAGTCCTGCCTGTTCTGTCAGTTTTTCCAAAGAACCTGCTTTCGTCTCTGCTCATCTTTCCGACTGCTTATGCTCCGTGGTGCTGGGCCTCACCGTGTCGTCTGTGTGTCTCTGCGTGTGTGAGCACGAGCCCCGTGAACCCGCGTAGCCGCCTCCGGGGAGAAGGGGACCGGGCAGCACTGGCTGAGGTTCTAGTCTACGCTCCGCGCCCCTCAGCTTCTCGCGGGAGGACCTGGCAGCGCATCTCTCTGTGTAACACAGAAAGAAAGAAGTCAAAGCAGGACACTGGCGCTGGGACCACCCGGCCTGTGCACAGGCCGACGAGCAGCGCCTCCCGTCCCCTTCCGTCCTGGCGATTTTGTTTACTGGTTTTGAATTGAGGCCTGTTTGTACTGCAGCTGGGTTCAACAGCACCTCGTGATGATAGGAAATGACATTTTATGGGCTAAAAAGGGTCAGTCTGGAGCCCCTCTGGTTCTCCAAGTCGCGCTTACCGCCCCGACACCTGTCCTCCCCGTCGGTGACGCGCTGTGCGTGGTGCCAGGGCCTCTCACGCTCCCCTCACGGATGTTCCCAAGCCCCCAGAGCAACACTGGGACCCGGCAGGTTGGCGGCAGGTCTTTGCAGACAAGAACTGAATTGATCCGGGATAGAAACTCTCCTTGTAATTCAGTCCCTGGACGCGGCTCCGTCCCCCCTTCGTCCTGCCCCGGCTTCCTCGCCATTCCCGCGCCCACCGCTCAGGCCCCCGCAGCGGAGCTGGGACGCCGAGTGCTCACGCCTTCCTCGAAGGCGGCCCGTGCAGGTGGGCCACTGGGGTGGGTGCTGCGCCCTCACGGATGGCGGCCCGGAGCCTGAGGCGGCCCCGTCCAGATGCTTCCCTTCTGTCACGGTGCCACTCCAGTGCACGCTTCCGTGAGACACGTGCCAAGGTCTGACAGCCATGGGGTCGAGGCCTCAGGTGTCCTCATCTGTAAGGTGGGTTCAGCAGCTGGGCCGTGCGTCTCGGCTCTTCTGGAGCCGACCCATGCTGTGTGCCGCGGGGCAGAAACCACGGTGCACGCCCCCACGGAGCCGGCACGGGGCTGCTGGGGCCGCAGCCAGCTCTCCTGGGTGACGCGGGGCGGCCCCAGCCCGACTCCGGGGGCATGCCCATCCGCGCCCCAGGCCGGGCGTGAGGCTGTGAGTGGTCGTCACTCCGTCCCCTCTGGAGGGCCCAGGTCTTCCCCAAGCAATCTCCATCTACGCTGTGCGTCACCAAAACCAGTGGTTATTAGCCAATAAACTGATGATTAACTTGTAATTCATTTTAAAACAGTTAGTATTTGTTAATAAAAAGAAAAGTAAAAACGTGTGAAAAGAATAATTTTACCTCAATTAACAGTACCAGTGGACGATTACTCTTGGAACGATTCCCAAACTCGAGAGCAAGTGTGTGCACGGAGCCAAGTGGCCCTCCCTCAGATTCTGGGACCAGCGGGCCCCGCACTGAGGTCCCATGAGTCTCCCCACGCACGACGGTTCAGGCTGGGGACTGGGGCCGAGCCCCCGACACAGAAAGTCCAAGCTCTAAGACACAGCACGAAGAAAATGCCACCAGGGCCAGAACTGCCAGGCTGCTCAGCTGGAGCCCATCACCCTAAATCCTTCTCTTCCCTTTAACTCCCATTCCGTCCTGATGAAATCCCTCCTCCTCAGCTGAGCCACCGTGAGGGCGGCAGAGACGGGACGGGGAAGGCCCGCGGCAGGAACGGTCCACATACCCGGCAGTATTCTTCCCACGAGAGCATCTAACAGCCAGAAGGACTCTTCCTCACTCTTCGTTATGAGGATCAGATATCCCGCTATGAAGTTCATTCCCTGAAGTGAGAAAATGAGTTTTAAGCCGCCTCAAGATTCTGCAGACCTCGGGCTGCTCCCCACAAACTGCATTTCCCTCGCTCTCCCCCAAAATCCGCACCATCCAGGGGTGGCCTTTCAGTGACGCACTCGGCACGAAGAGGGGGAAACACAACAGGGTGTGAGGAAGCTCTCGGGGCTCAGCCTGGAAACCTACAGACTCTCCTCCCGCCTTCAGCCTCACGATGAGACACAACACACAACCAGTTCCTACAACAGTCTGACGGCACAACTGCATCAGGAAACCAGACCCGTGGCCGAACTTCACCAAAACCACGAGGAACGTGGCCTCTGACACGGCGGGTGTGGACAGATTCTGGATGCAGACGGAGGGGGAAATTCATGGTGCATGCGAGCTACAGGCGCGGGGCTCACCCACCGCGGGGGAGCGTCTGCATGCGCCTTCTCCGTCCTCCCTGTCCTTCTCTAGTGCGTCTGTTTCCTAAGCTGCGTGTGTCCTCCTCTGGTAACAGGGGCACAGCCAGCAAGACGAATCTGGACACGCAGACACCGCGCAGGGAGAGGCCACGGGACGAGGGAGGCACACGCCAGGGACCACCAGAGGCCACCGGAGGCCGGGGGCCTGGAGCAGACCCTCCTGCGGGCCGCTGAGGGCCCCCGCCTGCGACCGAGACCGAACAGACTCCTGGTGTCACCCTCGTGCCTGCGCACCTCGTCCTGCGGCCCGCGTGCAGTCTCACAAATACACACCCGAGCTTTGGCGTCGCGCCAAGCTTAAAGCTGTATGGGTTGTTTTTTTAATGCTGTTTTTAAAAGCTGCAAGAGGGGTGCCCGGGTGGCTCAGTCGTTAAGCGACCGCCTTCGGCTCAGGTCATGATCCTGGAGTCCCGGGATCGAGTCCCGCATCGGGCTCCCTGCTCGGCTGGGAGTCTGCTTCTCCCTCTGCTCCTCCCCCATTTGTGCTCTCTCTGTCAAATAAATAAAATCTTTAAAAAAAAAAAAAAAGCTGCAAGAACAGTAACCGGAATATGTAAAGGCGGTTTCTGGACCACGCGGCCTCCTCAGCTCCTCCAGGCCAGTCCTCGTCCAGGACCCTAAGTTATGGCGGCAACAGAAGCCCAGCCCCGCCTCCTCTGCTGTGGCACGGCCCGCGGGTACCAGAGCAACCTCGAACAGCCCGGCGCAGTGGTCAGCGAACAGCGCTCTCTGGTAGGCACCGCTGCCGCCGGTCTCTGCAGAAGGACCTGCCCCCTCCCATCTCTGCAGCCGCTGCCCTCGCCCCCACCCCCACCCCCACCCCCACCGAGTTCCTGGAGCCTCGCCCACAACGGTCGGATGCAAACTTCCCATCCGTGAATCCCGCCATCCCCAGGAAACTGTAGAAGCCGGAGCTCGGGAAGCGGGAAGCCACTCCCACCGTGGGCCACAGGCAGAAGGTGCGGTGCCGACACACGGAGAGTGCGTGCATGGGCCGCTCACACGCCCCGACAGCACAGGCCCACACGGGAAGGCCCATGTGTCCCACGCAGGCACGCAGAGAGCACTTGGGCCCTTGTCACTTTCCCTCCCCCACGCCCCAGGCAGAGTGACGTCTGGGAGGAACGAGGAATGATTCGTCCACACGTGACGTGCTGCTTCGTGCAGCAAACCCACACAAGGTGACAAAAATCGACAGGTAATGAGGCTTGCTGTTATCTGCAATCGCAGGAAGATCTGACTTCCAGAAATGATGTGGAAGGAACTCCCCGCCACATCGCGTGTGCACGCACACACACACACACAGGCGTGCACATGCAAACACACATACATGCATATACACACGCACATGCACACACTATACACACGTACATGCACAGACATGCACACGCACAAGCAGGCATGCACATGCACGCA